TATCAGTATGTAGTGTCTCTACTTTAAAGAGTCCTCTCCTGCTGATGTTCAGGTGTATATCAGTATGTAGTGTCTCTACTTTAAAGAGTCCTCTCCTGCTGATGTTCAGGTGTATATCAGTATGTAGTGTCTATACTTTAAAGAGTCCTCTCCTGCTGATGTTCAGGTGTATATCAGTATCTAGTGTCTATACTTTAAAGAGTCCTCTCCTGCTGATGTTCAGGTGTATATCAGTATCTAGTGTCTCTACTTTAAAGAGTCCTCTCCTGCTGATGTTCAGGTGTATATCAGTATGTAGTGTCTCTACTTTAAAGAGTCCTCTCCTGCTGATGTTCAGGTGTATATCAGTATGTAGTGTCTCTACTTTAAAGAGTCCTCTCCTGCTGATGTTCAGGTGTATATCAGTATGTAGTGTCTCTACTTTAAAGAGTCCTCTCCTGCTGATGTTCAGGTGTATATCAGTATGTAGTGTCTCTACTTTAAAGAGTCCTCTCCTGCTGATGTTCAGGTGTATATCAGTATGTAGTGTCTCTACTTTAAAGAGTCCTCTCCTGCTAATGATCAGGTGTATATCAGTATGTAGTGTCTCTACTTTAAAGAGTCCTCTCCTGCTGATGTTCAGGTGTATATCAGTATGTAGTGTCTCTACTTTAAAGAGTCCTCTCCTGCTGATGTTCAGGTGTATATCAGTATGTAGTGTCTATACTTTAAAGAGTCCTCTCCTGCTGATGTTCAGGTGTATATCAGTATCTAGTGTCTATACTTTAAAGAGTCCTCTCCTGCTGATGTTCAGGTGTATATCAGTATCTAGTGTCTCTACTTTAAAGAGTCCTCTCCTGCTGATGTTCAGGTGTATATCAGTATGTAGTGTCTCTACTTTAAAGAGTCCTCTCCTGCTGATGTTCAGGTGTATATCAGTATGTAGTGTCTCTACTTTAAAGAGTCCTCTCCTGCTGATGTTCAGGTGTATATCAGTGTGTAGTGTCTCTACTTTAAAGAGTCCTCTCCTGCTAAGGATCAGGTGTATGTCAGTATGTAGTGTCTCTACTTTAAAGAGTCCTCTCCTGCTGATGTTCAGGTGTATGTCAGTATGTAGAGTCTCTACTTTAAAGAGTCCTCTCCTGCTGATGTTCAGGTGTATATCAGTATGTAGTGTCTATACTTTAAAGAGTCCTCTCCTGCTAATGATCAGGTGTATATCAGTATGTAGTGTCTCTACTTTAAAGAGTCCTCTCCTGCTGATGTTCAGGTGTATATCAGTATGTAGTGTCTCTACTTTAAAGAGTCCTCTCCTGCTGATGTTCAGGTGTATATCAGTATGTAGTGTCTCTACTTTAAAGAGTCCTCTCCTGCTGATGTTCAGGTGTATATCAGTATGTAGTGTCTCTACTTTAAAGAGTCCTCTCCTGCTGATGTTCAGGTGTATATCAGTATATAGTGTCTCTACTTTAAAGAGTCCTCTCCTGCTGATGTTCAGGTGTATATCAGTATGTAGTGTCTCTACTTTAAAGAGTCCTCTCCTGCTGATGTTCAGGTGTATATCAGTATGTAGTGTCTCTACTTTAAAGAGTCCTCTCCTGCTGATGTTCAGGTGTATATCAGTATGTAGTGTCTCTACTTTAAAGAGTCCTCTCCTGCTGATGTTCAGGTGTATATCAGTATATAGTGTCTCTACTTTAAAGAGTCCTCTCCTGCTGATGTTCAGGTGTATATCAGTATGTAGTGTCTCTACTTTAAAGAGTCCTCTCCTGCTGATGTTCAGGTGTATATCAGTATGTAGTGTCTCTACTTTAAAGAGTCCTCTCCTGCTTATGTTCAGGTGTATATCAGTATGTAGTGTCTCTACTTTAAAGAGTCCTCTCCTGCTGATGTTCAGGTGTATATCAGTATGTAGTGTCTCTACTTTAAAGAGTCCTCTCCTGCTGATGTTCAGGTGTATATCAGTATGTAGTGTCTCTACTTTAAAGAGTCCTCTCCTGCTGATGTTCAGGTGTATATCAGTATGTAGTGTCTCTACTTTAAAGAGTCCTCTCCTGCTGATGTTCAGGTGTATATCAGTATGTAGTGTCTCTACTTTAAAGAGTCCTCTCCTGCTGATATTCCCGTGTATATCAGTATGTAGTGTCTCTACTTTAAAGAGTCCTCTCCTGCTGATGTTCAGGTGTATATCAGTATGTAGTGTCTCTACTTTAAAGAGTCCTCTCCTGCTGATGTTCAGGTGTATATCAGTATGTAGTGTCTCTACTTTAAAGAGTCCTCTCCTGCTGATGTTCAGGTGTATATCAGTATGTAGTGTCTCTACTTTAAAGAGTCCTCTCCTGCTGATGTTCAGGTGTATATCAGTATGTAGTGTCTCTACTTTAAAGAGTCCTCTCCTGCTGATATTCCCGTGTATATCAGTATGTAGTGTCTCTACTTTAAAGAGTCCTCTCCTGCTGATGTTCAGGTGTATATCAGTATGTAGTGTCTCTACTTTAAAGAGTCCTCTCCTGCTGATGTTCAGGTGTATATCAGTATGTAGTGTCTCTACTTTAAAGAGTCCTCTCCTGCTGATGTTCAGGTGTATATCAGTATGTAGTGTCTCTACATGTCTCCATGCTTTAATGTTCAAAAAGCTCTTTATTGTTCTCATACTGCCTGTGCTGCAGCACCTCTTTTCACCCTCTGTCTGAAACCAGAGCCCAGTCTGCTCTGATTCGTTAGCTGGCCAGCTCTGTTCTGATTGGTCAACCACTTAGAGATGTTTACATGCACAAAAACCTACAGGGAAGGGAAACCTCAAAAAGCAGAATATGGCCTCATTAACTTTGACATATTTTCAGGGGGAATCCTGCAGTTAGGAAAAAGACAGTAATATTGAATTTTAAATACAATAGAGTGGTGCAGAGACGAGTCCTAAAACCCGGACGTGAGTTAGCATTTTACATGTTCCATGGGGGCACTAAGTGCTGTGCTGGGCACCTAAGTGCTGGGCAAATAAGTGCTGGGCAAATAAGTGCTGGGCAAATAAGTGCTGGGCAACTAAGTACGGCTAATGGGATTTCTCCATAGGATTTTGGAAAATATCTGTAAATAAGGTCTGTGGTTGAGACACATTTAAGAGACGGATCATGTTTTGTTCTACGACATTAAATACATCAGCAGTGACGCCACTGGTGATTTCTGAAGAGTTGACGTGTCTGAAAAACGATGGTTGTTACCAAGTGGCTGAATAGGACTACAGAAGTTGTCGAGGCCGTTGTACGTCATTACGCCGAACACGTAAACACTCCTCTAAGTTTGTTTGCCCTGTTCTGCTTGAAAGCAAGTACCTGCCTCCTGCAAACTGTTCAAACAAACGCTTCAACTCGTACCATTTAGAATCTGTATGTTTGAATATGGATCTTAAGTTGGCGTGACGTTGAAGTCGTGCTGCTGTACTCGGCTGTAGTTTGTTTATCATAACGTTAGCATTTTGCATCTGGCGATTAGATTTATGATTAGAAAATGATAAAAGTAGGGTAGACATGTGGAGATTATCCGACTGAACAAAACGTGCATTTATCAAACAGGTTCGTTTTCCACAGAACTTATTTTGAGCTATTTTCCTAAATCCTATGGAGAGATCCCGTTGCTTTTTTGACGAGGGAACCAGCAGCTTACTTCTGGGTAAATACGTCATCCCTGCACCTCTCTATTGAGTCATTCATGAAAGAATGTTCAAATCCCCCAAATATATAATATGAATGGAAAGGAGGATGAAAAGAGTCAGGGGTCTCCAGTTTAGTTGTTCATAGGAAAGGGTCCCTCAAGGAGAAAAGGTTTGGGAGCGACTGATTTAAAGAAGACCTTTAACGTTTTTTATACATTTAGAGTTTGTGTGACGGCTTCTCTATCAGTGAGCAGCAGCAGACACCCAATCAAATGTCATCTTTTTCTTTTATCATCTTTTCTGTCATTGTGGAAGCTGTGATTTATCAGGAGACACATCACCTGACTGCTGACGGTTAGCAACTTAAAGAAATAATCTTCGTATTCGGCTGCTAAGCTGAATCTTGAGATGAAAGAAGTCTGACAGAAAACGTCCTAAAACTCAAGGTCAGAATAAAAAAAAATATTGTATTGTTATCATCATACATCAGTGAAGAAGCAGATTTATGATCTGAAACGTATTGTATAAAACCTTCCTAATTGTCATTTGTTAGCGTTTTTTATTCATCTCATTATTTATTTGTTTAGGTTTATTGGAGCGAATGTTTGATATAAACATTGTAATTGGATGATGAAACTAAGACACACAAAATTGGCCAAAAGCACGAGGACAGCTAAACTTTCCAGCCATTTCTGACCTGCAGGATACAGATAGAGAATATTTCAATCAGGAGAGACTTCATTTTCAGTTTAAAGAACATTTATTTTCGCATGCGCCATGATGGAAATGTTAATAGTCTTGAGCGATTAGACCCTGATCCTGATATCATATATCTTAAGGGGGAAGTGCAGCCGTGAGTATATTAGGAAACCCCCTTTTGGGGTCTAGACACTGGTGGTGATGATGAAGATCTGGATTCGATGAGGAGAAGGGATGAAGAAGATGATGAAGATCTGGATTTGATGAGGAGAAGGGATGATGAAGATGATGAAGATCTGGATTCGATGAAGAGGACATTTACGCAAAATGTAATAACAGGAAAAAAGAGTCATATCGTTTTCACACAATTCATTTCTATCAGTCTGTAGGATCAAATATGTCCCATAGTTTTCAACACAAGTGAATGCATCTCTCTGGAGTCTTTTTTTATAAAAACATTTATTCTAAAAAGATAGATTCCGACATATAAAATCAGTTCTTGTTGGTTTGAGGTAGTTTGTTCTTCAGCCTCTTCACAGGAAGCTTAAACAAACCTTTCTTATGTAGAAAAATCACTGAAACAATGGCAACATGTACAGACCCTAAATGAACATCCGTAGTGTCTCGTTGGAATAAAAAAAGGCGTCTCTTCCTGTAGCATCTTGAGTGTTCATGAGGCGTTCTTGGAGAAGCAGCTGTGCAGGAACCGCTTGAAGAACTTCCTGAACTCGGTGTTGAACACGGTGTAGATGACGGGGTTCAGGGCGCTGTTGAAGTATCCGAGCCACGTCACCACGCTCATCAGAGCCGGAGGAACGTAGCAGTCCTGACATCGAGCTCTCACCGTGTGAAGCACGAAGAACGGAGTCCAGCAGAACAGGAAGGCACCTGCAGGAACACAGGGAGAAGAAGTCAGGTGTGTCTTGTTGGGAAAATACTGAATGTCCTCTTCCAATATCAGAGTCCACATGATAACAAAGGTATCCCAACTGCAGCTGTGTACATGACAGGATGTATGATTACCTAGAAGAGCATCAGGACTGTTTTAGGCATATGACAGCTATGTGATTAACATGATGATTCAGCCTCTATGGAGATAGACATATGACAAGCATGATCATTTCTGACGTGGAGCTAATCTGAACTAAACATTGAATACTGCTTTCTATTCCTCCATCTTGTGACTGTGTAACTCCCTCTCTTGGATATCAGCATGTGAAGGACACTGTTCAGGAACTAGTTGATGCTCTGTATGTGAGGACTACTTCCATTCTTGAGAGGATCAGAAATACATGGATCCTGAGATTGAAGCTCAAGCCGGTGACGAGTGAGATTTTTCTAACAGTCTACAGTGAGACAAAAACAAAAATAACCTTAATCTGCTTTTAGTTTCTCCCAACAGGTGGGAAGTTTCAGAAGAAAGTCGTCAAACCGCTGCTCTCAGGTCAGGCTGAACGCTTTGAAAGTGACTAATCCTTGGCTTCTAATCTTCTGAAGCCATGCGAGGTTAGGTGAGGATTTCTGACACACATTTCCCAAATAGCACAGCTGAAGAAGCCGTTGAGTTCAACTTAATAAAATGATCAATTAAGCAATCAACTCCAGTTGACTTTCAAGTGATATAATCAGATTCCAATTTCAAATATCACTTTTCTAGGAGGATAAGGGCCACATGTGAATTCTTTTTGGGATCTGACCAAAAGGGATTTTTGTTTTGAGGTCCCAGAAAAAAGTCAGAATTCAGAATTCAGAAAAAGTCAGAATTCCAAGAAAAAAATCTGAATTCCCAGAAAAAATTCTGAATTATGAGAAAAAAAGTCTACATTTTGAGAAAACAATATGTCAGGATTCTGAGAACTAAGAGAGTGTGTTACAGGTTTAAAGGTTACATTATTTTATATTTACAAACAATGCTTTTAACTAAAAAATGTATCAGTCACGGCCCGTCCACACGGCGGCGTGCGTTGAAGCTTCAACGCTTCTGCCCATTCACTTTGAATGGGGTGACGTCAAGCTTTGCCGAACTGCATTGTGGGAGCGTCGCTTCGCTTTGCTCGCGTTGCTTCGCTTTGCTCGCGTTGCTTCGCTTTGCTCGCGTTGCTTCGCTTTGCTCGCGTTGCTTCGCTTTGCTCGCGTTGCTCGCTTCAAAAGTTGAGCAATGTTCAACTTTTGAAGCTTCGACGGAAGCGTCAGCCAATCAAATCATATGCCAGTACAAGCTCTAGCCAATCAAACCGCATGCTTGTGTGTCCGGGGCGGGAGATTCATGCGATTGGTTGTTGGTCGAGTTTCAGACACGCCCGCCGGCAAGCTTCAACGCACGCCGCCGTGTGGACGCTGCGTCAGATATTCTCATTAGAGTTACAGTTACTCTCACAGGGATTTCAGCCTTTGCAGACCGTTTACATGCACTACACCCCCAAAATAGGGCCTCTTTAAATCTATGGGATGGGTTATAACAATCTTTTATTTAAAAAAACGAAAGTTTACTTGTAAATGTACTGTTTTTACGATGGAAGAATCTTGTGAGGAGCCCAACACCAAATAACAACCTTATCTGATTCTCTTCCTGCAGAAATGAATTTGATATCAAGCATTTAATTGCAAATGAGTGACTTCCTTTATCTTGTGAAGACGTGCTCTCGTCTGAGCTAATGAGAGGTTCATGAGACCATGGCCAAGCTTTACGTAATAATTGGATTTCAGATTAAGGAGCTGCAGGATTAGCCGCTGTGTGCTAAAGAGAAGCACTTCTACGCATTAGAACCAACACTCACTGCTATTAATAGGACGACCTTTTCTTACTGTTGTGTTAGTGCCTCTGAACACACATCAGATGTGTGTGAGGCGTTCAGGTACCTTCCAGCGCCCATTTTATATCCAGTCATTAATTGTGGATAAAAACTGTTTCAATATAAATCTTTAATAATATAATACTGTAAAAAAAAGTACTTGGACTTTTTTTGGAAGGTCAAAAATACTGCAGTAGTAGGAATATAGGCTCATAATATACTGTATATACATATGATAGTACATACTGTATATACATATGATAGTAGTAACTTGTTAGACAGGAAGTGAACCTTACCTACAACGACAGGAAGTACCTTCATGGCCTTCCTCTCCCGGTTGTTGATCTTAGCCGTTTTCCTCCGGCGAGGCTCCTGGCTGTACTTGATCTCTGAGAAGCTGACGGTGGGCACGGGGCCCTTTAACTCCGAGGACTTGAAGGTGGACCGCTGCTCCGGACTCTCTGTCAGCTCCCTCTCTATAAGGAGGCAAGAGTAAACACATCCTTTACTCAAGTAGAAGTACAGATACTCGTGTTTAAAGTGCATTTTGCATAATAGGTGACCTTTAAGTAGTAACGAAGTATTTGTACTCCACTACTTCCCACCTCTGATGACGGGCGGCAGTAATGGCGGCAGAGCGGCGAGCGCCGGCAGCGCGGCGGCCGCTTCTTGAAGTTTTCGGCAGTCCAGAATACTGTTCTTCAGCTTGGCTCTCCGAGCTTCTTCCCATCGCCTCAGGCCTCGAAACATGCCGCAGTACAGCAGCAGCATGATGGGACACGGGATGAAGAAGGAGCACACGGACGAGTACAGCACGTAGTCGTCGTTCTCCAGTTTGCACTCGGTGGGGTCGCGGCCCGGCACGTTGTTGATGCCGAACACGACGGGCGACGCCACGGCCAGCGCCACGACCCAGGTGGCCGACAGCAGCACCGTCTGACGCATGTCCACGTGCTTCCTGTTGTAGTTCAGAGGGATGACTACAGCGATGAACCTGCAACACGGGAGAGAAGGTTTTAGTATATGTAGCTTTACATCCTTTCATCCTTTCTTTATAACTAATGCTTATGATTATTATGTATTCATTTCAACAAGGACCATGCATACAAATACATTAATCTCAGAAAAGAGAAGAGATTAATTATGCCAGATTTGAGCTAATAGCTCATTTCCATCTGCAGTCCTTAGGCAGGTACGTAACAATCAACAAACATTGCATAATCTCTATCACACAAACAATTATAAAACATGATTTAAGTACAGGTCAATACAATAATACATAGAACAGTTAAATATAATATTACAATACAGTTAAGATTGAAAAACCCAGATTACAGTGTAATTAATGTTGGCATGACTGGTTGCTTAATATCAATTTTTGTTGCACCATAAGAGAAAGAATTCAAGTCAGTACAGGTTTTAAGTTCAACTAGAAGAATATTCCAGTGTTCGATGGCCGTAAATGAAAATGCAGTTTGTGCAAAGGCACTGCGCCTCAATGCTGTTGATGTATTGTGATTTTAAAAAGGTGTTTTTTATCATCTGGCCGGGGACAACAGCTGGACATTAGCAATGTTGGCTAAAACTGCCCCGTTTACTGTTTTTTGTGATAGTTGATTAATGGGAACTGTCCACGACACTATAAACAAATAAAGTAAACTAAACTGAATATGTACAGTTTGTTTGCTAGAGGAAAGGTCATGGCGTCATTGAAATGTAAAGGGTTCAACCTCTGGAGAGACGTTTAGTTTATCAACTCCTATTGGCTTTCGAGTGATCAAATCTGAAATCCTATTTTCATCACTATTCTACGGAGGAGGATAAGGGCCACATTTTGGGGATCAGGCCAAAAGTGATTTTTTGTTTTGTGGTCTGAGAAAGAAATCTGAATTCCTAGAACAAAGTCTAAAATCAGGAAATGTTTTCTAAGCTTTACCGTTTTTTGTTTAATTTATAATTTTAACAACGCATTAAAAACTGCGACCCGGGAAAATATAATTCCCTAGAATCGTATTTGAGGATGCAGTTTAGTTATACGGCAACATCCATTTCCAGGCGACGTGGTTGCATGTCTTTATGCTAAGCTAACCTAATTGGTTTTGCCAGAATGTCAAATGAGTCCTTTAACTTAGGACTTCAGGAGCAAAAACATGGACAGAAAACATTCTGGTGTGGTAACAATAACAAATAGTATACATCCTCTATCTCAAAGGCCCCACTCAGTCCTGGGGGCCGTGGCATTGTTCAGTAATCCATCACTGAATGACAGCAGGTCATCAGTCAGTTTGATGTTAAATCAAACCTGCAGAGGAACCAGAAGCCAGGTGGACTCTGCAGACCTTCACGATCTGTTTCCTGCCCGCTCTGTTAAATTATTCAGACAGTAAAACCTCTAAAAAGCTTCAGATCATCAGCATCAGTCCCCGTTAGCTCCACGGCCTCCATCAGTCTCGGCTCTAATCATATTTATCTGGAGTTGGGACATCAGCTGTGAGGGGCAGCTCCAGAGTTTCATCCTTCAACATCAGCCCGAGAGTTCGGATAATCTCATTGTGTCAAACTAACGAGTGCAGAGTGATGCCGGCACTTCATCACCGTGGACGCATCCTCAGATTTTTCTTCTTTTGGGGCTTTTACAGGAACAAGACAAAAAGGTTGTCCTAATATTTCCACATTAGAGTGAACTGTGGCTCGATTATCTGACCCTGACGACCTTCAGATGGAGAGCTGAAGACCTCAGGGTTCTGGTTTTGATTAATTATCTGGATGACCCTGACTGAAGCTGAAAAACACCTTGGTGGAAAAGTGTTTTTTGCTTGTGAATCTTCCTGACTGAGTGAAATAACCCAAGTTATAAAGTGGTAGGTATGATAAGAGCTGTTCAAATTCTCTAAATGCTAAGAAAAGGTGCCTCAATGCTTCTGTTTTAGCATAGCACGGTGCAGTAATGAGTCCTAAAACCATACAAATGTGTTGGCATTTTACTACTTCCTGTTCCCTCATCTCAAAGTCAAAATTTTTTTGAAAGGGTTGATAGTTGGATGTCTGAAATAAGTTACATAAGAGATTTTCAAGGTTTGTCCTACAACATAAATGACATCAGTAAACAACCCACTTGTAATTGAGTGAAGCTCATAAAATCAGGGGTTGCTAACAAGTGTCTAAATGAGACGACTGAACCTCATCACCCCGAGCATTAGCCTCTTTTAGCTTAGTGGTTGTGACGTGAAGTCATGTGACCGTGCTGTAGTTCCTTTATAGCCCAACATTAGCCGCCTTTAGCTTAGCGGTGGTGGTAGTTCTTTTATAGCCTAACATTAGCCTCCTTTAGCTTAGCGGTGGTGACGTGAAGTCATGTGACCGTGCTGTAGGTCGTTTATAGCCTCACGTTAGCTATCAACCTTTAACGGTCACATTTACTCTTCAAAAACCTTACATTTGGGGTTAATATGTGGAGAATATCGTGCTGAACAAAACATGTAAGTATCATTTACGTGTTGAGATCCTATTTTCTGGAATATTTTGAAATCCAACGGAAAAATGATGCTTCCTCCCAGGTCGGCCTACAAAAATATCATCACTGCACGAATTATGAACCATCAAATACTAAGGGATGGGAGATAATGTCTTCCCACAATCCCTTGCGGCAACAATATTTACCTGTCGACGCTGATGGCGCAGAGGTTGAAGATGGAGGCGGTGCACAGCATCACGTCCATCATCATCAGGTAGTCACAGACCGAGGTGCTGAGGGTCCACACGCCGTCCTGGAACTGGAGAAACACACAGTATGTTTACTTATCAACATTAACATACAAGCTGTACACACATAAACACATTTAACTAAAGATTCAAGATTCAAGGCTTTTATTGTCATTCGTACATAGCTACAGTGTAGTTATGACAATGACAATCTTAGGTCCCAGGCTCCTCCAACAGTGCAACACAATAAAACAGATAATACTGCAAGTAAATACAATCAAATAGAATAGAAGTAGTGCCATAAGAGTCTATATACAAGTGATACATCATTTGTAAGTTGCAAACAGGTGAACTAAAGACATTTACTCAAGTACTGTTCTCAACAGAGCCAATAATATGTGTTTGCTTTTACTTTATTAAAATAATATTGCATGTATGCAAAATTAGCTTAAAAAAATATAAAAACTAAATAAAATGCACAAAAAATACCTTAAATTAAATTATAAACATTAACAATTGAAAAAATATAGGATAAATGGGCCACCCGTGCAGTTAATATTAAACTTGCACATATAATAAAAAAAACTATAAAATATATCCTACATATAAAAAATATAAAATACATTAAGATATATATATAAATGCATTAAAAAAATGTATATATACTAATTAATTATTCCAAGTGAATGCAATTAAAAGCTTTAAGCATGACAATATACAACGTAAAACAATACATGGTTAAAAAATGTATAAAATTAAACATTTAACTGTAATAGCATAAATAATAACATAAATACTTAGTATTTGTAACGGCTAAACAAAGAGATGAAATAATCAGAATCAGAACACCTTTATTCGTCCCACAGAGGGTACATTTGAATTTGTTACAGCAAGAAAAGAACCAAAGAAAGCTTAATATTAACTAAGAAGCAGCAATACAAAATATTAAAGATTAAAAAATAACACAATTTACAAAATACACATCCTGTAACAGTTCTGAGAGAGATAGCAGCCAGGTATATATCGCACAGCTATCAACGGCATATGCACATAATTGGTATTGCACAACAAGGGGTGTTATAGTCTGTGTTGTTATATGTGTGGGGGTCTACCAGGGACCATGATGGTTATACAGCCTGAAGGAAGGACCGGCGTAACTTAAAGGGGACCTATCATGCAAAATGCACTTTTGTACGTCTTTTATACATGAATATGTGTCCCCGGTGTTCCAGGGAACTCACCAAGTGTCAGAAAACACAACCCTCTCTATTTTCCTCCATACCCAAATCTCTAAAAAAGGGGCTGCAACGGATCTGGTAAAAACTGATCCAGATTTGAACACTGTCCTGACGTCAGGACGGTGGCACTACGGCTATTGGGCCAACTCCACCAATCAGGAGGAGACAGCCACGGCCATTGCCGTTCGAAAGCGCTGGAGACGCTGTAGTACATATGCCAGGCCAGTAGATGGTGCTGTTCTCACTGAATCTGCCCTTGCAAATCCAGAGCTAAAAAATGTCAAATTGAGCAAATGAGGCATGGCTAAAATGCATGATCTGTTTGGTATTTTGAAAAAAAAAAAGTATAAATATGCCTTATATAGGTATTAGGGCTGTGCGATTATGGCAAAAATCATAATCACGATTATTTTGGTCAATAATTGATATCACGATTATTAAATACGATTATTCATTGACTTTGAAAACATCCATTTATTGAACTTTTAAATACAAATAATAATTTGAACAGTATCTTTTTAACTGTTGATTACCCTGAGCGTATAATTCAACTGAAAAACCAATACAACAATGAATTAAATAAATGATACATTTAAATCTACATTTAAATAAATAATATCAAAATAATAAATACCAATAAACAAGATCAACAAATATTTTGGAGCGCACTTCAACAAGCTACTAAACATATATAAATATGATAAATACAAATACATTTGATCAAATATGTTGCAGTGCACTGTCACAACCTAGCAAAGCAAAATAATCGTTTTTTTCGATTATGTTGTTTTCGTAATTGTGGCAGGCCAAAATCGTAATTGCGATTAAAATACGATTAATTGCACAGCCCTAATAGGTATGGTCCTAAATATGCTGCTGGGCACCAGAGAGCGAATCCTAACGCAGGTAAATAGTCGATGTCCAGGCGAGAACGTTGTGTTTGTTCTTTTATTCTCTACACATATACAGAACAATGGTTTCACCGGTGCCTCTCCTGTGGTTTCTCCTGTAGAATATCCTTTGTTCCCGGGTAAAAAAACACATGCTCGTCTGATGCACCAATCCCACCGCCACCATTAAATAACAAATCAATATATAGCTCCAACAGTATTATTGAACTACTGTTTATTTAAAGAAACATTAAAGCGTGTAAACATGTCAGCGTAACATACAAAAATGCACCTGAAAAAGAGCAGAATATTTTCTTTAATAAACGGTCTCTCATAATAGCTCTTACTTATTAATATAATATCTATGAGAAATGACTTGTTGTGTTCCAATGTTGTAAACAAAAGCAGTTTAGATAACCACACAAACAAAAGGTGAACTGTGATGAGTGAAAGAACATGATGCATGGATAAACAAACATACAGGCTCCAGAGAATCAACGCTAAGTAACAAACACAGACTTGTTGTTATTGTCTTCATTGATTTCCTAAATCCCCATTGTTATTTCAGGGGCCCCTTCAGCTGACCTTCGACCCCGGATGTGAGATGACCTCCGGAGGAATGTACAGTTCATCTGGTGTCCTCAAATAGACAAAGACTGACTGTAACTGTGTTCAAACTTTAGCTAAATTGTTATTATAAAAACACGATGACAGTCGTGATCGCTGCAAAAAAACAGGGTCGTTTCCAGTGAGTTTGGGCAAGCGTAATAATTACTGAGTTAATGAATAATACAATATATTAATATAATATTGTATTAAAGGGCCCATGTCATGCTTTTCCGGTTATTACCCGTCCCCTTGTGTGTTATGAAGGTTTTTCTGCATGTAAACGGTCTGCAGAGTCACAAACCCTCAAAGTACACCCTGTAGTGAGTAAAACACTAACACAGAAAAGACCTGTCTATGCTGCCCCAGAACGCCTCGTTGGAGATTTCTCATTTTCCATTGTTTGCTTCCTGGGTTCTGTGAAAACCAAATGGACCAATGATGTGTGAGGAGCACCTCACACACCAGGATCCCTTGGCTAACTAACAGGGAGTCCCCATTGACTTGCATAGAGCTCCCTGAACGCTGGTAATAGACGAGTTGGGATGGCGGAGAAATGCTCTCTGCAGACCCATTCTCACAGCGTTATAAACCTCTTTCTTACTCAATATCAAGCCACACTTATTGTTTTTACTTCAGCTGTGAGTGTTTGTGTGTGCTCAGGATGAGTTTTGCTGTGTCTCGCTGTATCGCCGACCCGGAAGCCTGTCCACTCCTCGCTGCAGCTCGCAGCTGCGGCGAGCAGCAATGAGCCTCTCAACGTCCCGACCAATCAGAGCACACTGGGCTCACAGGGAGGGGGGGGGGCAGGAGCTCCAATAAGCCGTTTAGGACAGAGAGTGAATACCTGGTGAATACACATACTATACAGAGATGCTGTATGAGAAACCAATGTGAGTTTGGAAAATTGCACAATGTAAATCTATTCTAGTAGACCTCAACAATGGAAATATGATCAGTAGAAATGGCCATGACATGGGACCTTTCAAATTAAACGAACTTAGTGACGTCATAAAGGGGGCGGGGCTGCAGCTGAAGGTCGGCTAGAGTTCCGATTCTTAAAGGGACAGTACGCAGAGTTAAAACCATGATAACTGATGTCAAATAAAACACTGATAAATATATAGATACAAATAAAAAGAAAATAGATAAATTAACAATAAAACATCTTTAAAATATACCCATAAATTAAATGAATGTTTTGATTAGATAATTGTAAATTATTATTATACCGCTCCAAGGACTTGTTCCTTCCTACTGTCCCAAAAGTCCGTACTGAACTGGACTACGTATAATTACGATGCTCCTGTGGCTTTGAACCAGCTTCAAAATGAGCTGAAACTCAGAGAACTGGTCTCATTAAACAGACTCAAAGCTACTCTAATGGTGCATTTCCACTACAGCGCGCTTTAAGCGTGCCGTGCCGTGCGAGGCCCGTTTTTGGTTGCGTTTCCACTTGGCGTAGTACCGGCTAGCGGGTACTATTTCACAGTTTTTCTGGCCCCATAAAATCGATGTTCTTAGCGGGCCATCAACCAGGCTGAGTCGGGCTGAGTATGCTAAACTAGAGAGAGAGAGAATCGCTGGCAAGGGGGCTACAACTACAACAAGATGAACATATTTTAACGTGATTTAATTGTAATACATGTTTCAAAATGATGCCGAAGTAACAACATACTGATACCGGTTAGTAAAAACCATGAATTAATGCTTTGACAAGTCTGCAGACAGACGGCAGGCGAAAAACCTTTTAAAATGCGTGTTTTCTAAATGGAGATTGGCTAAGCTAACGCAGTATATGCTCCGACCGTCCACACTCACAACAACGGCCTATAGAGACATAAATAAAGCAGCGACTGTATTCACCATGACACAGGCAGTCTGTGGTTTGTACTTGTTTAACTTTTGTCTAGTTTCTGAACAGATATGAGGAGCTGTGCACTCTGAGTGCTAACAGCTAACGGCTGATGTTGTTTTTTTTTGTGGTTCTCATTGAAGATGACGTCACGGCTCCGCCTACACTGCGTTACTATAGTTACTGCCCCAGCTACTAAACTGTAATGGAAACGCAGCATAAAGTGAGCCAGTCCTAACAAGGCCTAGCGAGGCCGAGCAAGGCCCTGCAATGGAAATGCGCCATAAATGACTTTGTAGCAGGCCGCTGTGTCTGTAAATGCTTTGGCTGATCTTGTTATGACTGTGATTGAGTTTTGACTGTTTTAAGTTGTCTGTAACTGAGCTGCTGCCTATCTTTGGCCAGGACTCTCTTGGAAAAGAGAGCTGTTTTCTCAATGAGACCTATCAACAACAAATGGATTTGCAGGATTTGGGTTTTTGGGTCGTGTTGGGGATTTGAATAATTTATCCATCTGAGTCTAATGGTTCTATCTCTGACCAAACATAAATGACAACAAAAGAAACCCCCCCTCAAGGCCCACTTACTCCATTGTTCTGGAGCTTTTGAGCGTAAAGCCTGATCTTCATCAGCTTATGTATTTATTTCCCCAAATGTCATACAACCCCATATATATTATATTCTGAGCACCACTTTTCCTCAATGCCAGTTTAAGATACGACCTGGCAAAAGTGACTGCCCCGCCCTCTTTATGGTGAAAACAAAGAATCCTCACAGATAACGATGCTAATGAGGCTAATGTCCATCGGCAAAGTAAACAGTTGTAATGTAAAAAGTAAAAGTAGTGGCTGTAGATGCTCCATAGGAAAAAGTGTTAGCTGCTGCCTGCCACTCGTCCAATGGCAGACTTACAGGACATTGATCCTGTATTGATTTCATTAACTAAATATTCACGCCAATCATCAATCTCCAATGACATTATTTAATAGTTTGCCTAGCTGACCATCACTGGGATATTTGTAGATAAACAAAAATGACACAGTATTCTTAATTCTTGGATGGGATTGGCCGAAAACCTCAGGATCTGTTTTTACAGCCAGTCAAATGGCAGCAAATGTTTTCATCCAAAAAAGGAGCCATGACGTAGAGGGGAAGTACCGGATGGGTTTCTCATCTTTAGTCAAAAGCTCCAGAAAAAAGCCAGTGATTTGACTTTGATCAACTTTCTGGAGGATTACAGTAATAAAATAATTTGGCAATTTTAGTTTTCCAAAAGATATATCAGAATTTTGCAGAGGCTTGTGACACTTTAATAAAAAGCCATATCTTATCCAAAGTTGCATACGTTTTAAGTGAGACTTCACTCAAATTCAGATGATCTGAGCTTATTGTATGTAAATATTATATTTATATTTTAGCGGCTTGAGTAAATAAAACTACAATATGGAAAAAGAAGCAAAGACAGAAAATTACACACATATTTAATTTAAATTAAGGTGGAGACACCTTGTTTTTTTTCAAAAGCAATAACAAACCCCCTTAAAACATCTATTTCAGAATTGTGCAAAGATTTCACCTTATTTTTTAGTATTTAACAAACCATTACTGATAAGGGGCACATTCACCTTAATTATCTTATCAATTAGCTGTTGGGTAAAGCATCCGGGATGAACAAAAAACCCTTAACAAAACCCTCAATTCAATCCAGAAATCACGCCAAACACTTTGATTCAAATTGAGATGGCAATAAGATATCCATTAAATTCTCGAAAAGCAACAATAAACTACTTTAGAAACACATTTATATAACTTTATATAACTTTATATAGTTAAGTAGGTTTTAAGGGCCATTGACTTTCACTTTTATTCATTATCTGATACTATACCAAGAACATTCTGCAGATGTTGTGTAATGCATCCTGGATCTGCATAAAAATCGATTCACATTTCCAAATGACCCTTAATCTAGTACCACATTCACAACAAACACTGAAGGTGGCGCAGAGATCCATTAATTGATCCAAAAAGGGATACAAAGCCTAAATGAGGTGTATTACTTTCCCTTTCCCATAAGAACCTCAATATTGTTTACTTGAGTAAATGTTCTTAGTTACTTTACTCCACTGCTTACTAACAGATGTTGTGCAATCTCCCTGGATGAACTAAACATCCTTAAATTCGCTTAATTTGAAACAAACACTTAACTTTAAATTAAGGTGGCATTTTGGACTAAATCTAACTGCAGAAACCAACCAAACCTCTGCACGCAGTAAACAATAATCGTCCTAATATATTTTTCGGGTTCTCTTGCTCCTCTCCAACTCTGCCTTTTTCCGCTTTATTTCAGTTTGTTTACTTTTCGTTGTGTGCTTTTCTATTTTATTTTATTTACTTGCACTATTATCTGTTTTATTGTGTTGCACTGTTGGAGGAGACTCTGACCTAAGCTGTTCATTGACATAACTACACTGTAGCTATATGTACACATGACAATACAAGCCTTGCATCTTGAATCTTGAATTCGGATCTCACCTCGGAATACACAAAGAGTGGCAGCACGAGCACCGCGAGCATCAGATCCGACACCGCGAGACTCACGATGAAGTAGTTTGTGGTGGTCTTCAGCGCCTTCTCCGTCATCACGCTGAGACACACCAGCAGGTTCCCGCCGATGATCACCACGATCAGCAGCACCCCGACCACCAGGGCCGGCACGTTGTGGCCCCCCGAGGCCGCCTCCGGGGCCACCTCTCCGCTCAGGTTCCCAGCCATGTCCGCCCCACGGTCCGGCCCGCGGGCTCTCATGAAGCCCGGGCCGGACTCTGGTCCCCTTACTGTGGGGTCGTCATGGAGGAAAAAAAGAAGCTCCGGTGCGCACTTTACGCAAAGGAACTGAGCGTAACACAGGATGGAAACAGGTGCGTAAAACTAGTGCGTAAAACAGGGTGGAAACAGGTTGGTTTGATAAAGTTAGACACCCCTAACTCATGATGATTAAACAGCTGCTCAATGTTTCTTCAAATATACCGTGGTGAGCTCTTTACGCAAAGGAACTGTGCGTAAAACAGGTTGCTTTTGCAAAATAAGACACCCCTAACTCATAATTATTGAACAGCTGCTCAAAAGTTCCGCTTCCCCTCTTCTTAACGTCGTGAAAAAGTAAAAACACATCGATCCAAAGCGCTAAAAGACGCTTCAATGATTGGAAAGTTGAAGCGGATATCTGTGTGTCCTTTGATGAAAGAGTGGCGAGCAGCCGGAGTGTGTCTGCGGTCACACCCCGGGAAGTGGGTGTTCGGGTGTTTTCAGCTCCGGTGGGTTCACCTCCTGCAAAGGCCACTGCAGGGCCAAATTAGCCGATTAAAGCCGCTTATCAGCTGCGCTTTACTGTGTCCTTCAGTCCCTGAGCTCCAGCAGGAGACGGTCTCTCTCTGTGTGGGTGTGTGTGTGTGTGTGTGTGTGTGTGTGTGTGTGAGAGAGAGAGAGAGAGAGAGAGAGAGAGAGAGAGAGAGAGAGAGAGAGAGAGAGAGAAAGAGAGAGAGAGAGAGAGAGGATGCTGCATACAAAATATCAACAACTTTATTTAAAGTTAAATTACACACACACACACACACACACACACACACACACACACACACACACACACACACACACACACACACACACACACACACACACACACACACACACACACACACACACACACACACACACATGATTATAATCAGAATAAGTTTAAAATCAGTTAACAAATAAAAAAAACAATACAAAGTTGTTTAATTATACTTTCCTAGATAATAATATTATAATAAACGTATTTATAACGCACCTTTCATGCATGATGCAGCCCAAAGTGCTTTACAGAGTAAGATAAGCATGAATCTGCAACTTAAAGGTGGGGTAGGTAAGTTTGAGAAACCGGCTCGAGATACACTTTTTGTTATATTCCATGGAATGCTCTTAACATCCCGATAGCAATGAATATCTTAAGTGCTTTGACACAAAATCCATAAAAAAATATCATCTGTGGAAGCCGTGGTACTGTAAAAAGCACGACCAATCATTTTACCCGGCCCGGCTAAAATAACTGGATGGCCTACCTGCCTGTCAGCCTTCCATCTGTGCACAAACTTATCTCGTGCCCTCATTGGTCATGTGCGCGTTCGTGTGTGTTGGAGGAGGGGCTCTGTAAGGAAGTGGCAGATTTTCTCCGGTTGTGTATTTTCAAATTCTAGCGATCTCGAGCCGATTTCTCAAACTTACCTACCCTACCTTTAACTCTTTATTATAGTTGATAATAGTTGGACTTTTACATAAACTTTAACTTCATCAAAATAATAAAATGAATGACATTTCCATTGTTTATTGGGATCTAGCAGAGAGTATTTGCATGTATTACTGTAATCATAACTGTTACCTTGTTGTTAGGAATTGAGATAAAGACAGTATATGTTACAGATTGTGAATGTCATTTTTAAATTTCTGTATTTCTTTTAGACCCCAACAATGTCCCGGATCACTTTGACCCGAAATGAACCAAAGAGTGCAAAATGTGAACATGATACAAGGGTTAAAAAAACAAAAAACGTTATAAAGTGTGCTTGTCTGTGTGTATTTGTCCAGTGTTACTCTCTGACTTGAGAAGATGAGTGATTTCAAAGAAGAGGAGGACGACTCCATCTTCAGTAATGAACCCAGACCTCCAGACACAAGGTAGGACTCTGTTTACTGTCAACTGACCTGAAAAGGATTCTATGTTTATGTTGTCTGATAGCTCTGTTCATTTACATGAGTGAAGCACATTTATTTAGCATTATTTAGCTTATTGTATTTATTTATTTTTCTGACTAGTAGTTTCATTCATCTGCATTACTTACGCATTGGTCTTGCAACATAATCTGCACTATTTGCTTCTACTCTAATCTACTCCGTTTCATTTTGCACTATTTAAATGTTATTGTTATTTTTAATTCTCTTATTGTTTTATGTCCTATATATACTATTTTGTATTGAGTGAGGAGCTCGGGACAGATTTGCATTGCCATGACTACACTGTAGCTACTATGCATATGACAATAAAGCCTTTGAATATTTAATCTTGAAGCACAGTTCAATAAAGAAATACAATAGAGTCCAATACAAAATTTGTATTGAGTTTGCTGTGTTCTTTAAAGGTTCAAAGATACACAGGTTTTATCTGTCGTATACACAGCTACAGGGTAGGGGTGTAATGAGAATCTTCGGTCACAGGTTCCTCCAACAATACAACACAAATATATATAAGACACAAAACAAAAAAAACATAGAAATAGTGCAAGCTAACATTGATACACTGTTGGCTATCGGGAGCCATTTGGGGTGAAGTGTCTTGTCTAAGGACACATTGCCATGTTGACTGCAGGGGCTGCAAACCCTCTAATTGGTGGACAACCATTCAACTTGTGAGCCAGAGCTGCCACAGATGTATGTGTACAACTTTTGTTGTTTCCACAGACGGAGGGCACAGTCTTCAGGCTCCAGCGGTCTGTCTCTGAAGAGTGACCGGTCAAAAGAATGGCCTCTAACCTTCAGCAATGAGCCTGGACCCTCAGACACAAAGTAAGAGTCTGTTCACTGTTCACTGAAGAGGATTCAGTTGTAATGTTATCTGATAGCTTTTTTTAAAGAATTACATGAGTGAAGCACAGTTCAATAAAGAAATACTATAGAGTCCAATACAAATGTGTTATTGAGTTTGCTGTGTTCCTTAAAGGTTCAAAGGTACACAGTGTTTATTTGTCATATACACAGCTACAGGGTAGTTGTGATTCAAACCAATTTAGTATTATGCCAGAAAGTCTATCTATCTGTCTTTCCAGTTGGTCTAGTAAAATGTAAAATGTGGTCAACAGTGTCAAAACAGCACTGAGATATCAAGACTGAGATTCTGCTAATATTTTTTTTTAACTGCATGTCATTTAAGATCTTAACAAGAGCAGGCTCAGTGCTGTGGTTTGGTCAAGACCTGATTGACACAAACATTATAACATAAGCTGTCTATGCAAAGCAACATTTGAGTAAGAAAGCAACTGTCTAACAGAAAGGACTTTACAGAAAAGCTAAAAAGATAGTCTGTTTGGTTTTCCCATGATATGTTTTTCTTTTAGATTTATTACTATTTATTTCCCTGCAGGATCAATGACGAGTGGATCACAGCTGAGGAACAGAAGATCTGTAAGTATTAGAAGTATCTAAAAGGTATATGATCAAAATGTGGTATACAACTGGATAAAAAGTCCTCTTATAACATCTTCTGGCAAAATGAAACATCAACGGAGCTGATCCACATTTGCGTACAACTTTTTTTATAAAACTCTGAAATATAATATTAAGAATACATATTAAATAACCTTTCCTATTGTTGTTGGGCCAGATACTCGTGACCAGAGAATCAGAATTCCTTTATTAGTCCCACAGCAGGGACATTTACAGTGTTGCAGCAAAATACTGTAAATAACCTTTAAAACACATTGTGATTTTGGGAATTCTACAGACGACTGTCGGAGCCAAAAAGGCAAATATTATTGAAAAAATAGCTTTTTGAACATTAAAGCATGGAGACATGTCACAGTAGAGGGACACAATATAAATGAACATAATAGAGCTGTTTTAAATAAATCTGAATTCTCCTCCATCTTGCACTGAATTTGGAGAAAAAAAGTGAATGATGGGGTGGTGAGGTTCGTATGACTTGGCTTGGGAACTGGAAGACCACCGGTTCAAGTCCCGGAAAGACCAAGTGCTACCGAGGTGTCCCTGAGCAAGGCACCGTTCCCTACATTGCTCCCCTGGCACCGTACATACGGCAGCCCACTGCTCCTAACACTATGATGGGTCAAATGCAGAATGTAAATGTCCCTTCTGTGGTTCCTGTTTCTTTTCACCATCCACAGCAGTTATTCTATTATCAGCTCTTTGAGACAAACAGTAGATGGCGCCACTGATCCAGTCTTACTACCAACACAGCACCAGGACAATGTGTACTTCCTGTATTCATTTATTATACAGTATAAGTAACTAAGAAGCAGTTGTTGGAAACACAAACATGTTATTCCTCAGACCCTCGTCATAAAACTAAGTTGAGTTGTATGAATAGAAAGCCAGATGTAAAATATGAATAACACATAACAATATTTTTGGTGCTCAGTAGCCTACATGTAGAATGAATAAACTGTAATGTAAACAGTGATATAGTATATGTAATCAATACACAGATGTACACAGGGATGTAGTAGAGTATATAAGAGGACAAAGGAGAGGATTCAACTCCTTTTTACACCAAAACTGGACTTTTATTTGTCTTATGTCTATCTTCCAGGATTTACTTCCTGAAACTGTGTAACTTGAGACCAACTGACAAAAAAACCCTGTTGTGTAACAAAGGGAGGAGCGCGCAGACAGGAAGGGACTTTAAAACTGAAAGTATGAAGTAAGAGAGGCAGACTCCATTTCGCACTTCGACAAAGCAGGAGGAAAAAACAGGGTGAGTGTTAAAACCATTTACAAGATTATTATTCAGTCTGTTATACTGTTAGACAGAAAAACACAGTCTTGATAAAGAAAGGAACCTCCTGGAGTCCAACATGACTTCTTTAAATGTAACTTTTTCCATTTCCTGGTTTATGAGCAAGCATTCCTGCATGCAATGCGGTCAAAATGGAGGCCAACGTACCTGTCTGAGATTTCACTAATTTGTTGTATTTAAACCAAAGTTAACCATTAAGATGGTTCTGATTTAAAGGAATTGCATTTCATTGTGTGTGTGTGTGTGTGTGTGCGCGTGTGTGTGTGTGTGTGTGTGTGTGTGTGTGTGTGTGTGTGTGTGTGTGTTTCCAGTATTACCAGTTAATCTGTCAGACCCGAGAAGATGGATGATTTAAGAAAGGACAATCCTAGAGCCACCAGCCCTCCTCGGTATGTGGAGAGGATATGGTAAGGGTACCTCCAGTCTTCAGTAATAATCTTTGGACCCTCAGACACAAAGGTAGAGTCTGTGGTGTCACCTGACCAGAAGAGGATTCAGTTTTTATGCCATGTGATATCTCTGTCATTTAGAGTACGGAAAGGTTCAGTAGAGAAACACAGTAGAGTACAATACAAGGGTTTAAAGAGGCCATATTCTCAACAACAAATTCAACACATGGATTTTAGCCTTTGTAGACCATTTTCCATCACCTCTGTCTATCCATAAGCCCCCCCCCCAAAATAATTGCCTGTTGACTGTCTTTGTTTGTCCTTGTTTGTCCACCCTCCCTTACACTGTAAAGCGTCTTTGAGTTCATGAATATATAAACATTAAACAACTATTATTATTATTTACATGCACAAATACCTACATAACACACTACAGGAAAGGGAAGACCCCAAAAAGCATAAAAGGACCCCTTTAAATGAACTCTTGCTGGGCTCTTTGGCATCATCATCAATACATAACCTGTTATTCAGCTGTTGCTTTTATTCAAAGCACCATACAAACGCTTCAATACTGTAGACATGTAAACTATTGCCCGAGGACATGTTGTAATAGTTAAAAGAACGACTGTTGAAATAATTCTCACCCTCGACATCCCTACAGGCTGAAGGGCGACGAGACCAAGCCTGAGAAATCAAACACCTGTGAGTATTGAAACCATATCCTCCATTCATTAAAGGGGACCTATCATGCAAATTACACTTTTTGATGTCTTTTATACATAAATGTCCCCGGTGTGTCAGGGAACTCACGCAGCGTCAGAAAATAAAACCCTCTCTCTTTTCCTTCGTACCCAAATCTCTAAAAACGGGGAACAACAGAGCTGATCCAGATTTGCGTCCGATATGACTTAAAGTGGACCTATCATGCTATATTTGAATAATATAGTGTAGGACCATACCTATATAAGGCATATTTATACTTTTTTTTTTTCAAAATACCAAACAGATCATGCATTTTAGCCATGCCTCATTTTGCTCAATTTGACATTTTTTAGCTCTGTTTTAGCAAGAGCAGATTCTGTGAGAACAGCACCATCTACAGGCCTGGCATATGTACTACAGCGTCTCCAGCGCTTTCGAACGGCAATGGCCGTGGCTATCTCCTCCTGATTGGTGGAGTTGGCCCAATAGCCGTAGCGCCACTGTCCTGACGCCAGGACAGTGTTCAAATCTGGATCAATTTTTATCAGATCCGTTGCAGCCCCTTTTTTAGAGATTTGGGTATGGAGGAAAATAGAGAGGGTTGTGTTTTCTGACACTTGGTGAGTTCCCTGGAACACCGGGGACACATATTCATGTATAAAAGACGTACAAAAGTGCATTTTGCATGATAGGTCCCCTTTAATATGAGAAATGTGGGCGGGCTTTACACCCACGGCCCTATCAGAAACGTTGCTATCAGAAACAATGCCCGACTGTTTTGGTCATCTTTGTTTACATTAGCAAGCATCGCTAACACTCAGAGCTAACCTGTACTGGCGAGTGCATGTGTAAAACAGCAGGAAATAAAAAAACTCACCTTGTGGTAAACCTGAGAGAGAAAAAGCATTTGAGCTCCATACTGTTTCAGAAATAATCCTTGATGTAGTTTGGAACATGATGGCATTTAATCACGGCAGCATTGAGCTGAATGTGCCGGGTAATTCTGAGCAGGCATTAGCCCCCTCCTCTTTTTTTTTTTTTCAAGCTAAGGACCCAGACTAGCAGTTCTCTAATACCGCTTTCACACCAACGCAACTCCGGTTCAAGCTCCGTGCTAGAGCTTTTCAGGTTCAGAACCGGTACTTCGGTTTAGCTCCGGCTCTTTTCACACCGCTCAGAGACCGACTGGTGCTGCCGCTGCTGCGTCATGACGTCACAGTTTACGTCGCTGATTTTCTCCCCAACGGAGCTCACCTCACAACAACAACGGGCCGGGGACTGCGTTGCTTTTAATCATACGAAGCCAGATTAAATTAAATAACGACTTCTCCAACCTTATACTTTTCTCCAGAGTGCCGTGGTTCATTGTTTATTAATGTGTTTCAGCGGCATTTACCGAGCGCTGCAGTGCTGGCTGCTCTTCCACCGGAGTTTATTCTCCCGTTAGCTCCGGGTTAGCTCACACGGCTCTAAAGTATTCACTGTCTGACTGTCACACAAGCAGCTGATACATATCCCCAGTTCCCCTTAAGTGAATGTGTGTCAGTCTGAATTGACGCTGTTTGGCATCACAACGCTGTTATGAAAGTTTCTCTGGTATAACATGGGTGATGTTAGCATAGCAACCGAAGCTAAACTGACTACTTGCTAAGCCGTTTTCTCCAGGCACTTTTTACCGACGTATTTTTCATTATGATTCTACTTGTGATAGTCGGACATGACAACCTGTGCAGCCCATGTATTGATTCCATCTGATAGCTGCTATAATAACAAACAAAACGTCTGCCTGCTCTCCACAATGATCAATAACAGCGAACGGATGGTCAAAGTAAGGTACAAATAAACAGAATCACACGAAGCCTGGTTAGTGTTGCCTGACTTTATAAAGTGTGTTTTTTTTTAACAAGTGTGTGGTTGCGTTCTAGTCACTTTGCTCAGCACTACTGCTTGTTACAACTTTTATTTGCCGTACTCGCCTTAACTGTTAGCTCAGGTTAATCTCGCCCCCCTCCGACGTAAGCGTGACGTATGCGGTTCTTGCTTCTAGACGGACAACTTTTTGCAGGAAAACCCGGTGCTTTTCAAGCACCAGCACCGAACCGGCCCCGAAACACCGTTGGTGTGAATGGGGTATAACAGGGCTGAAATAGAGGGATATATCAGGGGTGTCTGAAATGCATGATCTGTTGGGTATTTTGAGCAAAAACGCATCATATACAGGTTTTTAATATATTTGTATATATCTGAGACCCATAATATATGCCTAAAAATAGCATAATAGGAGACCTTTAAACTTGTGAATATTAATGTCTGACGGCAAAAGGAGCGTTTCTTCATATCGAAACACTTTTTTTTCAAAGGTTTTCTAATTATTATGGCGCTTTCTTTTTCACTTCTTCTCTCCATCAGATGACCACTATGGCAAAGAGGATGAGACAACAGAAGCACAGGTGAAAGAGGAGCAGTGGTTCAGCGAGAAGTATATTTAATGCTGTTTAACCACTGATAACATTTAACTAATGGTTAAATATTCTGTGAGCTTACGTTTTATTTGTTAACAGCTATTGTGTTGAATGAAAATGATTTTCTCCATTTAAAAAAACTCTGTAAAAAGTTTAGGATACCCACTCATAAACAATGGAATCAACAAAGGAAATTGCTTTGTTGTATTGGTGAATAGATCAAATACAAAAAAAGATATGTTAGTTAAAAATGTATACATAAAGAAAGAATAATATAACAAAATGTAACTGCTCATGTGCTGTGAGCTAAGTCCCGCCCCAATGTGCTCTGATAGGCCGGTATTAGCCGGCTTGTGATTGGCTGGTACTACTGTGCTTCGATTGGCTAGTATGACTGTGCTGTGATTGGCTGGTATTACTGTACGGTGATTTGCTGGTACTGTTGTGCTGTGATTGGCTAATATGACTGTGCTGTGATTGGCTGGTACTGTTGTGCTGTGATTGGCTAATATAACTGTGCTGTGATTGGCTAGTATGACTGTGCTGTGATTGGCTGGTACTGTTGTGCTGGGATTGGCTAATATGACTGTGCTGTGATTGGCTGGTACTGTTGTGCTGTGATTGGCTAATATAACTGTGCTGTGATTGGCTAGTATGACTGTGCTGTGATTGGCTGGTACTGTTGTGCTGGGATTGTCTATCATTACTGTGCTGTGATTGGGAGGATCCTGACTAACTACATTGTTTTTGGTCTTATGATGTAATGCTCTAGAATTCTGTTTTTTGTTCTTTAAGGTAGAATTGATATATTTTTCTCTGTTAAAATAACCAAATGTTTTCCTCTCATAACTCCAGGATTTTGTAACCTTCTCACCTGCAGTGTTTCAATGCAGGTTCCAACAACCTCTATACAGGTAATCCCATAACATGACACATTGCATTGTCTTTATTTAGTTTAATGCTCAGGTATTTCACATAAGGCTCTTTCCAGTAGACATATATTCAGGGGTGCACATAACAGGTACGCATGCGCGGCAACAATCTGAAATGCGTACCGTCACTTGTGTCACAAAGCGCATTTGCGTACCGACGTAAATGTGAAGCTTTTCCAGAAGGCGGTTAGTTCACCGGACGACAGAGTCGGTCTCCGTGTGCACAGACAGGGCTGCTGTTAACGTCGGTCTGTACAGCAGCCCCACTAAAACAGCTGATCACAACGTTCACACGCTGCGCGGTCACGAAGCTCTGTACTCCACTACCACCCCCCCCCCGTTGACAATCGCGAAGCGCTGTACTCAGGGGTTAAATTGGGATTTGATATGTGGGGGGGCTCTGTGTGGAAGGAGGGGGAGGGGGGTGTCGAAGATCTCATGATTTTACCTTAAGGGCTATACTGTATATGAGGCCCTAAAGCAACTGCTCCATTATCTGTATCAAATGCAAACATTGATGCCACCAATTGATGCCAAAAAATTTAAATTAATTTACATCTTAAATTATTTATGTACACACACAAATGTTTACAAATATCCAACCTTCAAATTGCTTTTTTTAAATCATAGTTGCTCTGCACACTTGCTAGAGAACATTTTTGATGAAATCTCAGTTATAGGGCTGCGAGATTATGGCCAAAAGTATGCTGTACATTTCACTGTAAACGATTGAATCATCACCAAAAGTCGATGTTATTATGATCAGAACTCAGCTTTATGCACACACACACATACATTTAGCTTGGTTTAGGAAACGGGCTCCGTGTTACAGGACGGGTCACGTGGTTTCGCTGCTCCGCTGCAGACTCTCCTCAATGAGGAGCAGCGGAGTCCGGGCGGGGGGGCTGCGGGCTGCAACTCCTGATCGGAGCAGAGACACGCTCACTAAGCCAAAAAACTATATCCGGTCACAGAGATCTGCTATTTGAAAGTGAAGTCAACACATATTGACACTAAATATAGTCTATATTAAGAACGAAAAAAGTTTTAACACATAGTTTTTTGTATATGACAAATTTGCGAGGGTGATGATGTCAGAGTATCGTCCTATGTGCCCCGGACAGCCCCGGCCCAATTTAACCCCTGGCTGTACTCCACTGTCGCCACTGTCGCCACCCCCCCCGTTGACAATCGCGAAGCTCTGTACTCCACTGCCGCCACCCCCCCCCCCCCGTTGACAATCGCGAAGCGCTGTACTCCACTACCACCCCCCCGTTGACAATCGCCAGAAGTTGGGGAGTACCAAACACTGACTCCAGGTACTCATCTGAGTACCTCACTGAGAAAGTTGTGTGCACCCCTGCATATATTAAATAATGCCTCTATGTATGAAGTAGCAAATAGCAGGGGCTTTCAAGCTTTTCTAATTGTAACCCCTCGCATTAATCAGGTTGTTGTTGCCGACTAGTAAGACTTTCTCTCCACCTGATCAGTTGGAAATCCCCCATCTGAAAGTCTTGGTCAATCTGATCCGTTAATTGGAAAATGTAGAGGTCTGTTATTATAAGGACGCTCTGATGAAAGGACCATATGCTTTCTATTAGTCCGCACAAAATAGTCTGGTCAATGAAACGTCAGCTGTGATTAGTTCTCCTTCGTCAGTAAACACCATACTTCTTCAATCGTCATTTTTGTCAATATTTGAGTTCTGATTTTAACCCTAACCAAACCGGAACAGCAGAAGAAGACAGACAGGAAGTAAACACTGAAGGGAACACAGTATGGGCTTCGGCAGAGTTTAAAGACTAGTTTATGGAAAGGAAAATGTGAACAGACTTGGAAATTATAGTTTCAGTGCTGCCGTCATTTTAAGTTAAGTTGTCGCCGCAGTTTCAGTCGTTGCTACACAGTAAAACCGACTTTTTTTGTTGGTTTTATGTTCAAATCAACATGTTGTGCTAACTGTGCCGATGAAGCTGTGAGTGAAAACACATAATTTGAGCAACAGCTCAATAAATGCTTGTTATAAAAGTGTGTCCCTTCTATGTCTCCAGGTACAAGTTCCCTGGTCCCGGTGCGTTCCGGTGTAATTTGACCAACCTGGTGTTCGTAATGGCTAAAGAGGCAGAGCTGACGTACATGACCCTCATTTGGGACGAAGACCTCCTCAACTCAGGCGGAAAGACGCCTGCAGGGCCGCTGTTCGAAATCAAGAGTGCTGTCGAGGACGCCCTAACTCAGCTCCGCTTCCCCCACGGTGAAACAAAGGAAGGTAAAGACATCTGCAATGCTAGGATATACATTTTTAGGATACCGAGTAGTACCAAGTAATATCGAAAACCTGTGAAAAGTTATAAAGCAGCTGTTGGGAGGCTCCGATGTCGATGACATTAGACTCATTTTAAAGGTCACCTATTATGCAAAATCCACTTTCATCAATCCATATGTGTCCCCCTGTGAGTTAAGAGATGTTTTTGTCCTGATCCATTTATATAAAAACCTGTCTGAAAATGAGCTGATCAGATTTTGGCCACTTTATGATGTCATAACGATTTTCTTTGGCTTGTGTAACCATTAGCCAATCACCAACCAAGGTAACCCCCCCCCACCTTATCACCTGAATCTCCTCCTAGAGCACCATTTTGTTATTTTTAACCAAATCTCTCTCAGAGGGGCGTGGGGAGGGGTTCCTTATTTTCATCTAAAGTAACAGACAGAGAATCAGCTCTTTTGAAACAGGGCTGAAACAGAGGGGATTATGGGTAATGCTGCAATGATCTGTTTGGTGTTTGGAGCCAAACACTTCAGAGACATGTTTTGTATATAACTGAGAACTATAATATATTGATGAAAAAGAGCACGATAGGGGACCTTTTAAGGGATAAATTAGGTGCAGATGAACCAATGTTGATCAGCTCTTTGCCTTCACAGCGATGAAGGATGGCGCATTGTCTGTGGCTGACATCTCTGATGAGGGAATGAGCATCTTGAAGCCGCTGGAGATGACAGAGACTCACGTGGTCGTGGACGTCCCTCACCTCTCTTCCTTTGGCCTGGTTTGGCACATCATCAAAAGGTTTATGACAAAGAACCGGCCAATAAGGAGCCAACTCATGCTGTACCTACGAACACCGATCAAAGAGCTTCAAATAATGACCGTGATTGTCCTGCAGGAGAACGTCCCTTTGCATGAGGTAAAGCCATCCGCCATATGTGCTCTCCATCAGCCTCAACACTTCTTTTAAGCTGTTTCCAAAAGGGTTTTATGTAGTCTGTGTTTCTTATTTTTAGTATCATCATTATTTGTTTAGACTGTACAAGTTGCTTTTTGTTGTCATCCCTTTCGGCAGTAGAGTGGTGCACTGATGATGTAGGATAGCCCTAACCCTAACCCTCGACAAAAAGCAATGGGATTTTTCCATTGGATTTCGGAATATTGCAGAAAATTAGATCTTGTGCAAACACATATTTAACTATACTTACAAATTATGTTCCTATTGCTAATCCCCATAAAGCTATAAAGGAAATACATCACAGTCGCATCAGAGACCGCTAAGCTAAAGGTGGCTAATGTTCAGCGTGATGAAGTTTAGAGGTCTCATTTAGTCACTTGTTAGCAACCGCTGCTTTTAAGAAAGATAGAAACTGACATTCACCAGTGGGGTATTAACTGACATATTTAATGTCCTACACGTGAACAGTTTGTGTAAACCACAGACCTTATTTCAGGTTACTAACCAAAAACAACAAATTAAATAAATGTTGGCTTCGAGATGGGGGAACCATACATTTTAAAATGCTAGCTCATTCTTCACTCACTCATTCCTGCAGCTCTCTGTTGGCACCGTCAACATTTGTTGTGTATAAATGTCATGAACTCAAGTGATATAAATGTCCTGTTTCTGAAGATTTCCAGACAACAAAATGGTGCTCAGCGCGTAAGGATCCCAAGCCACTGTCAGCTGGACTTTGGTAACAAATACAGCATTCACGTTGATCCTGAAGACCTGTTCCTGCAGCCAATGGTGAGTAAAGTCACAGCTTCTCTTCGAAGGCCCGGTGTCTACATAACGTGCCTTTCTGTTTTCTATAAAACCAACTATACGTTTTCACTGAAAGCAATATCAAGGGTCATCCTAGTCAATCGGCTCAATTTTGTTTCATTAGATTGTCTTATGATAGTTTTAGTCTGAAGGACACGGTCAACAAAAAGCTTCCTCTCCATTTTCTACAGTGACATTCTCAGTGTTTCTCTGATAGTTGAGATATTTTCCGAAGGCTTGGTAAAAAGAAGCTGGTAACAACAGGTTTTTTTCACAAGGTAGTCCTCATGCAATGGCGTACACTCTCTTCTCATTGGTATCCATTGAACCAATAGCCTAAAGTCGCAATGTGGAACCTGGCGCTAATGCTTATAAACAACCATACATTTACTTTTGGCTGTATGTAGATTCACAATCATGAAAGAACCAGGTTAACACTTAATTTCTTCTGTTCTGGTTTTCAGCATGATGAATTCTCACCCAGGTTCGGACCAAATTACCATCCGACATTTGAAGTTTTCCTGGACACGAGCACAGAGTCCCTGAACTTGAAGCTCCAGGACCAGAGTGGGAAAGTAGCCTGGGAAAACAGAGTGTATCTGCAAGGTACCGCCTCCGCCTGATGTCAAGTTCAGAGCCCAGTGATAGACAAGATACAATAGAACAGTATAGCTGTAGTGCACCTTCATGCATTTTGCTCCATCTCATCATCTTTCAAGTGAACAAAAAGGCAAAGAAAGGAGTTATTTAGAGCAGGGGTTCCCAAACTTTTCAGCCCGCGACCCCCAAAATCACTGTGCCAGAGATTGGCGACCCCCCGCCACGTGAATTGTCAACAGGGGGGGGTTGGTTGTTAGTGAATTTTCATAAAAATAACAGTGTTTCCCATACATCGACATACAAACCCCACAGATCCTCAACTCCGGTGTGTCTCACTCATTAAGGCGAGACACGGCAGGCAAAAACATCGTTTTTCATGCACTGGTCAATTTTGATATGTTGTGCTATTTTGATTCCATAACATGTTTTCTTTCAGGCTTTTGGAAGGAAAATGTACAAAATACACATTTAGGTGTTTATTTTACTATAGTTTGTCTATTTGCGTCTGTAGGTTTCTCCTAAATTCACCAAAAGTTAGCATTCTAACGTAACATAAAGTACCGCGACCGCTGTTTGCACCATGTAAACAATCTCATCGGATCCAAATATGGTAATTTCCTTTGTATCAGCAACCAATCGTGAAAGTACAAAGGGGTCTTAAACCAAAAAACTAAATCTCATTGGCTGGTGTGCTAAAACACTTCCTGGTTTAGCTTTCGCTGGAAATTTAAATCTCAAAATGGCAAAAGAACAGCGAAAAAAACGTTCACAGAGAAGACGACAACAATTGTCACTTGCACGAAGCAATGTTAGACAAAAAACAAGTGAACACGAAATACCTTCACGGAGTGCGTCGAGGCGCAAGCTGTCATCCAAAGAACAGGAGGGTTTAGCAATCTTTAAAGGTTGTTTTCTCAAAATTAGTTTTTTCTCCTCTTCTGAGTGAGAAATGTCCACTTCAGTAGCACGTACATACACCAAACCTTCCAGTTATATTCCTATCAATATTCTGAAGGTTTTTACAGAAGGGTTTGTTTATATATCATTCATAGCCTGAATTATATAACATTTTATACCTAAAAACATGGCGAAAATTGATATTTTAGGGCTGTTTACAGTATAATAAAGGTTTGAAATGAAATGAAATGAAATTTTCTGATTTGTGGAGTGATAAAGAGATATCCAAAATCCCTTCTGTAAAAACTTTAGATTCTAATATGACTACAACATGAAACAAAAATGTTGAACCTGACTTTATCCAATGTTCAGAATTGTGTTCCTGAAATTTATTAAAATATGCGCATATTTAATGAGATTATGGCCCATTTGCATGGGGGGGTGCGGTGCCCCTACAAATAGAATCAAATTATGTGGGAAAAACTGGATAATAATAATAAAAAAATTTAAAAAATGTATTTATTTTTATTTTGAATCATCTCGCGACCCCCTGCGACCCCCACTTTGGGAACCCCTGATTTAGAGCATATGTTATCTGTAGAACACTACATTGAATTTCTTCTGAGCTTTACAGTTATTTTAATCTCTGTTGTAAGTGTTGTTGGTTGTATAACAAAAGTATGTTTCCTCTTTATCTTCCAGAAGCAAGATGGTTAATGTCCCGGCGAATGCCCTATTCAGACATGCAGCTGATCTCTCATCGGACAGCGCTCAGCAATGGGATATCTCCAGATACTCTGGAGAAGCTTCTCGATGTGCTTATCGAGAATACAATTCTAACTGATGAGCAAATTGAATCAGTCCGCGCCAAACCCCAAGAAGAAAGAGCAAGAGAGGTGCTGCAGATGGTGCAATACAAGGGACGAGATCCCAGCACAATCCTGCTCTCCGCTCTCCGTGAGGTCGACCCGGTGATCTGCAAAGAGCTTGAGATAGACTACTAAGAACCTGTAGTGTGAGGAGAAATCTCAATCTCAACCCTAAACCCCTCTGGAGCTTATTCTGAACGCAGCAGCCCAATTATTCTAAAACCCCCCTCAGTTCTCCCACAAATATACCTGCCATCCCCTCCCCCCATTGGCTATCAGTAGATGCCCATATCTGCTTGAAGTCACTGGTAATGGCCTACTTTTTGGCACTTTTCCTTCCTACATCCAGGACATACTTAAAGAGGTCCTTTTATGCTTTTTTCTGGTTCCCCTTTCCTGTCGTGTGTTATATAGGTTTTTGTATGGTCTGCGAATGCTAACATCCCTGTGTTTCCTCCAGAAGGAGTTTCTCTCACAAGAACACACCTATCTGTTATCCTGGCTCCAAACTGGTGGATTAAACTCCCAATTTATATCATGACAGCTGAACGTCTACACATCTTCTGGCACAGAATCAACACTCACCTGGTTCAACTGCACCTTTTCCATAAAAAAAATAAATAAAAAAAATTCTCACTTTAGTTCGTAGCACTTGGTTGGGTTTATTAATAGCTTGGGTACTTTCGGGATTCTTGCTTTTTTGGGGGTCTATCTTCATGGTTGATTGAACTCATTGTTAGTCGCTTTGGACAACATTGTCAGCTAAATTAAATGTAATGTATAAGATGCACAAGATAGAAACAGCGCATTTTTTCTTGTTGGCACTATAATATTTTTAGATTAGCATATAGAAGGTGGCTTTTTAATCAACATCAGCTGCAAGTTAAAGGTGGGGTAGGTAAGTTTGAGAAACCGGCTCGAGATACACTTTTTGTTATATTCCATGGAATGCTCTTAACATCCCGATAGCAATGAATATCTGAAGTGCTTTGACAAAAAATCCATAAAAAAATGTCATCTGTGGAAGCCGTAGTACTATAAAAAGCACGACCAATCATTTTAGCCGGCCCGGCTAAAATAACTGGATGGCCTACCTGCCTGTCAGCCTTCCATCGGGGCACAAACAAACAGTATAGATGTTAAATTCAACTCTTATTTTCTGCATTCAACGCATCTGTAATTTTTCCAAATATAAATATTGTCAAAACAACTAGATCTCCGTTTGATATTTTGTCATTGTCTTACTTCAATTATCTCAAATGTGTCGAACATTTTACAAACCCAAAGAAATCTGTGATATAGATTAAGTTTATATTGTATCCCGCGGTCATAATTTGACTTTTTAAGCCGTCTTAAGCCACATTTTTACTGTATCATTTGAGATTTTGGTAGTTTTTAACCATATATTCCAGTCATTCGACGTCTAGATCTTAAGAATATAAGATAAATACGTTTAGAAAACATTAGTAGCAGCCGAACAACATTGGGGAAATGCAGTTTTTTCTCAACTCAGTGCTTTTAAAAGTTTTAAAAACATGGTCTGTTTGAGACCCCTGTGGATAATTCGGCACCGGTAAAATCCTCCTAAACAAAGAATAATGTAGAAATCCTATTTAGAGAAGCTCGCTGCATTGACAACAAACTCCTTCGATCAGTCCAGAACATGACAGTGTGTTTAATATGATCAGATTCAAAGACAGACTGCTCGGACGTGGACTGTAGAACAGTTACACACATTCTGATTCATTCAGGTTTATTTGTATCATCAAATTTGAGAGTTAAAAATATACCAAAATATATAACTACTGTGAAAGTGGGCGGAGCTTTAAATCAGGACCACTGATTGGCTCTTTACGCTAATGAGCTGAATTGACATATACAGAGGTGGGAAGTAGTGGAGCACAATTACTTCGTTACTGTACTGAAGTATATGTTTCTGGTATCAGTACTTTACTCCACTACTTATTTTTCTGACGACTTTTTACTTTGACTTCTTACATTTTGAACACAAATACCTGAACTTTCTACTTCTTACATTTTCCAAACAGGCTGGTTCCTTTAGTTTGAATGTGTGTTTGGTGGCGTGATCATTATTATTTAGAGTCATTGCGTGCCTATTGATTTGAACACGATCCGTGTATCCATCATTTCCTGCTCTTCTCTAAAGAAGAGGGCCCAATGAAAACGTTGTCATGTTGCCGTTGTTCAGCATGGAAACATTCATTAGCTAACAATGACATTATTGTTCTATTAATATAAAGGGAGGTCAGGTACTCTTTAAAACAGCTGCGAGTTATGGGTACTTTTACTAAAGTAAAGAAGTTTAGTCAGTACTTCTACTTTTACCAGAGTGAACACGAGTATCTGTACTTCTACTTGAGTAAAGAATGTGTGTACTTTTGACATCTCTGTTAAAGACACAGTGAATTTTATTTTTAATCTTGTAACAGTTCATCCCAGTTATGATGTCCTCAGTCCTCCAGGTGGTTGATAAGCAGGAAGTGAGGTCTCAGCAGGGACAGGATGGGGATCCGCGGGGCCCCGGCCAGGGAGTACGCCTCGTCCATGTTTACGCCTCGTGATCGTAGCGTTTGGAGGGCGGCGCCGCAGCTTTCCCTCCCGCCGCGGGACGTCAGCAGCACGAGGCTGAGGGGGCTGTCCAACACGCCGAACCTCCGCCGCATCTCGCCCAGCTGAGCCCAGAAACTCTGCGACGCAAGAAACGTGCATTAGCTTTTATTGAAAAAATCTTCTATAGGGCTTATGGAAAAGTACAAAAGTTAACACGATACTATTATACTTATAATATTATCACACTGGACATTTGACATTTATATTCAATTTAATATTCCTTTCCTCACATACTAATGTATATATAATAACTTATATAAGCTTTTATTAATATTCAACATGTATATTTTCTAATTTCTTGTTTATTTCTTTTAATCTTTATTGTACAATGCCATGTCTTTTTATGCTGCAACACAAACATTTCCCAAATTGGGATCAATAAAGTACTATCTTATCTTATCTTACTTTATTGTCAGATCGAGTCGGAAATGTTTCTTGCATCACAGCAGCTCTGTTTGCAACATCATTTAACAAATATTTAAAGGTCACCTATTATGCAAAATCCACTTCTTCATGTCTCTTCTACATCAACATGTGTCCCCTCTGTGGAAAGAGACTCTTTTATATAAAAACCTGTCTGAAAATGAGCTGATCAGATTTTGGCCACTTTATGATGTCATAACGATGTTTTGTCTTGTGTAACCATTAGCCAATCACCAACCAAGGTAACCCCCGCCCCCCCCCATCTTATCACCTGAATCTCCTCCTAGAGCACCGTGTTCTTTTTCACCAAATATCTCTCAGAGGGGTGTGGGGAGTGGCTCCTTATATATCAGCATGTTGATTTACCAACCAGGGGGAAAAACACATTAGACCTGGTCTATTCCAACATCAAGGGAGCATAGAAGGCATCCCCCCTCCCCCACATCGGCCTCTCTGACCACCTCACTGTTCTGCTGGAACCGGCCTACAGACCCAGGGTAAAAGCCACCAAACCGGTTTCAAAACAGGTTCGGGTGTAGTCAGAGGACAGCACAGCTGCACTCAGAGACTGCTTTGACACTACAGACTGAGACATGTTCAAGCAGGCAGCCACATACAACCATCACACCAATATACAAGAATAGACAGAGACAGTCACGGGCTACATCACCAAATGCATTGACGATGTGACACAAAACAGAGCCATCACCATCCGGGCCAACCAGAAGCCATGGCTTACAGGGGAGGTCCACACGCTGCTGAAGGCCCGCAACATCGCCTTCAGAGCTGGAGATCCAGCTGGGCTGAAAGCAGCCAGGGCTGACCTGACCCGTGGCATCAGGAAAGCAAAACAAGAATACACCCGAAAAATTACAGGACATTTCAAGGATAGCAGGGACTCACGGAGCCTGTGGCAGGGCATAAGGACCCTAACGGACTACAAACAGACCTGTGACAGTAATACCTCCCTGCTCAACAACCTCAACGGCTTCTTTGCATGCTTTGAAGCACAGAACAACACACCTGCGCAGAAAACCACCCCCCCCACCGACGACCAGGCTTTGCGTCTTTCACCAGCCAGTGTGAGGAGCACACTACTGAGGATTAACCCCCGCAAGGCTGCAGGACCTGACAACATTCCTGGTCGTGTGCTGAGGGACTGCGCAGAAGAACTCACAGATGTCCTCACAGACATTTTTAACATCTCCCTGAGCCAGGCTGTTGTTCCCTCGTGCTTCAAGGAAACCACCATCATTCCAGTGCCAAAGAAGTCATCTCCATCCGGCTTCAACGACTACCGCCCCGTCGCACTAACTTCTACCATCATGAAGTGCTTCGAAAGGCTGGTCATGAAGCACATCAAATCCACCCTCCCCCCATCGCTGGACCCATTTCAGTTTGCCTACCGAGCTAAACGGTCCACAGAGGATGCAATCTCCTCCGCTCTCCACCCAGCCCTCACACACCTGGACACTAAGACTAAGACCAATAACTCATATGTTAGAATGCTATTTATAGACTTCAGCTCAGCATTCAACACTATCATCCCCCAGCAGCTTGTACAAAAACTTACAGACCTGGGCCCCAGCCCCTCTCTCTGCAACTGGTTGCTGGACTTCCTCACAGAGAGACCACAAGCTGTACGGGTCAACAACAACACCTCAAACACCCTCATACTGAGTACGGGGGCCCCCCAAGGATGTGTGCTCAGCCCCCTTCTCTTCACTCTGCTGACCCACGACTGCTAACCCAACTTCAGCTCCAACCACATCGTGAAGTTTGCAGACGACACTACTGTGGTGGGTCTCATCAGCAACAACGATGAGACTAACTACAGGAAGGAAGTGAACCAGCTGGCCCTGTGGTGCCAAAATAACAACCTCTTCCTCAACCTGGAGAAAACAAAGGAGATAGTTGTTGACTTCAGGAGAACCCACCGCCGACCCCCTCTCCCCCTGACCATCAACGGCGCTGCTGTGACGCAGGTGACCAGCACCAAATTCCTTGGTGTGACCATCACTGATGACCTCACCTGGAAAAACAACACCACCGCACTAGCGAAGAAAGCCCAGCAGCGCCTGTACTTCATCCGGAAGCTCAAGCGAGCCGGAGCATCACCCCCCATCATGCTGTCTTTTTACCGAGGCGCCACCGAGAGCATCCTCAGCAGCTGCATCACGCTGTGGTTTGGAAGCTGCACCGCCTCCAACCGCAAGAGCCTGCAGCGCATAGTGAACTCTGCCCAGAGGATCATCGGTGCCTCACTCCCCTCACTACAGGACATATACAACACCCGCCTCACCCGCAAAGCACTCAGCATTGCGGGTGACTCCACCCACCCCTCCAACAGTCTCCTCAGCCGCCTGCCTTCAGGAAGAAGGTTCCTCAGCCTCAGCTCGGGCACCACCAGGCTGGGGAACACCTTCCTCCACCAGGCGGTCAGGATACTGAACTCTCTCCCCTCCCCTCCCCTCCCTCCCTCCCTCTCTCCCCCTCTCTGACATCTCTCCCCTGAACTCTCCACCCTGCCTACCACCCTTCTCCCCTGCCCCAAATGGTCCTGGACTTTACCACACACACACACACA